GATTTTATGTCCATAGAAAGCACATTAAATGTAAGTAAAGTGTCTACTTTTAAGGTTTCAAATTAGTTTTCGGAGAATAAAATGTCAGAATTTGGTTGAAATAATGTTAAATTGTCATTCAGTGTAACACAAAATTTATGTAAAAATTCAAACAACATGCTTATTCTGACGTGTACATATTAACATGTATAAAAGAATAAAGGAGCATATTAAATTTGATTGTGCTTTAAATGAGTAAAACATTCTTACTGACAAATGGGCAAAACCTAGGATAGTGGCACATTTAAAAAATTTAAAATTACAACTAATTAGTATTTGGGGTGAAAATAATTAGTCTTTTAATATGTCATAAATAGATTTTTTTTTGTAAATATGCCTGACAAGATGACATTACACTGAATGACATTTTAGTGGGTCTCTTCTGTAAATCAGGGAAAAATTTATATTTATTTTTTGCTCAGAAAAACAAAATTGCAATTTGAATTAAACAGAATTGTTTTTTTATTAAAAAAAAATGTATGTCCACATACAGACAAACCATGGGTCACAGGAGGGGTGGGATGTTGATCAGTACTGGCTTGGGATGGATGTCATCACGCGTCTCAACCAACGAGAGCATTTGGGGAGGGCCTAAGACTGCAGGAGCACTCCCGATAAAATTATTTAGGCTAAGCATCAACATTCACAAACCACTGTTCACTGTTATTTTTTAACAGGAAATAATGCAGCGTGCTCGTAATCACGACTTCATAAGTGGGAAACAGGAAGTTTCCGATAGCACGCGAAGACAGAGTAGAGTGCATTGTTTTGTTAACTCTGTGGTTTATTATTTTAAGTCGTTTGGGACGCTGTAACACACGGCCCTCTCACAATATATTACTTTACATATCTATCACTTTTACCGCTCAGAAATGTTCACGCAATCATGCTGCACATATCAGAAGTTCAGCGCTCCGACACTACAAGCGTACCACGCACGAACCCAACTGAACCGCGCTCTGGCCCACCTCTTCCAACCGAGCCAGGGACGGCTAAACGAACCGCGCCAAGCTGCAAAATATTTTCCATAAAAACGTTAATGCCCTGGCAGTGGCAAATAGCTTTGGTTTTATATTTAATTTGATTACATGCATGTTTAAGTTGAGATTTCGGTAACACTTTATTTCGATAGTCCACTTTAGACATTCTATTAACAGTAAGTAACTTTGCAACTACATGTCAACTAGCAGTTAGTAGAGTATTAGTAGACTGTCTGCTTAATATCTTCTAACACTTTCTTTGTCAACTTATTCTACTAACCCTAAACCTACCCTAACAGTCTACTCTGAGAGTTAGTAGACATGTAGATGCAAATTAATGAGAATTAGTTGACATGTAGTTGACATGTAGTTACAAAGTTACTTATAGTTAATAGAATGTCTAAAGTGGACTATCGAAATAAAGTGTAACCGAGATTTCCAAGAAATATTTTAACTGCTACTACGTAAAAGGAGTACTGCTGCAAAAAAGCACCTTATTTGTTTAAAGTGTTTGCAAACCAAATGTTATTGCACTTTTGTTCATATAGCAGTACTTTTAAATGAAAAAAGTGCACAATACACTACTTTTGAATTCATTATTGAATTTTGTGCATAACAATGTGATTAATCACGATATTAATCGCAGAAAAACCATGTGATTAATCGCGATTAAAAAAAATGTAATCATTGCCCAGCACTAGTAATTATATGTTCGTAAAACTAAAGAAAATTCCATAAAAAATACCATACTGCAGTATAGTTCAAATTAATATCAACTATTTTAAATGTGCTTTTTAGTATGTTAGTCAACATCCAAATAAATGTAATTCTTATTAAAATAAATGTAAACCTTTTTTAAAAAGCATTTAAAATTAATTCAAACAAGTCAGTTAAGTAAGCAAGTTAATTCAAACATTATGATTTAAAACATACTTTAAAGGGGTCATATGATGTTGCTAAAAATAACATTATTTTGTGTATTTGGTGTAGTGAAATGTGTTTATGCGGTTTCAAAAAACACATTATTTTCCACATACTGTACATTATTGTTTCTCCTCTATGCCCCGCCTTTCTGAAACGCGTCGATTTTTACAAAGCTCATCGGTCTGAAAAGCGAGGTGTGCTGTGATGTGAACATTTGATTTGACGCTATTACAAAGTGCTTTTTTAGAATGAGTGCACTTTTATTCATGAATGCATACGCACACTTATAAAGTGGCCTTATTTCATGAATAATAAATCTGCAAATACCTTTTTTTATATGCTTTTAAGATTTGAAGTACACTGCAAGTGCACATTCAATACAATAAAGTGTACTACTTTTTCACAAGGGAGTGATCTATTCTGTATTCACTGGGAACTGATATAACCCGATTGACTACTTCTTGTGTTTGCAGAAAGTGCGTAAAGAAGGAACACTCTCCAAATCTTCATCAGGGATGCACAGCGGAGGAGAGGAAGAGCCTGAGGACGAGTCTCACACTCCCCTCCCTCCACCAATGGAGATCATCAAAGACCCGTCTGCGCAGGAAGAGAAGGTACACACACACAACAGAGAGGGAGGAGTGTGAGGAGAGTCGTGTCATAGGAGAGGTCCGCAGGGTTATTAATGTGGAAAGAGATTTATTAAATGCATACTGTGTCACTCATCATATGTTCATAACTATCTCCACCTGCCTCCCTCATAGCCCCCCCCACACACACACACACACACACACACACACGCACACACACACACACAGGGACTTTACTAACACTGTTTTTCTTCCCTGATGTCAATGTCACCAGTAACTGCTGGGGTGGAGGCTCCTTGTCTCACATTCAACAAACCACACATCCACCCTATTGTTGCAATGAAGCTTAAATTATGTAGTTATGAAACTTTTACTGTTGCACTCAACTCTGGCTCTTTCACACGCTGTGCCTTGCCGGAGGAATAACAAACAACAAGTGCTACTCTACACTGCTCAAAACTCACGTTTGAATCATCAGTGGCAAATTATTTAAATATAAAAAAACTTACTTACAGTCTTTGAGTCAGAACAGCCGGCATTGTAGTCTACTCTTCCAGGATCAGGAAACAGTCCTCCATAAAATGTGCTGCACACATCTGAATATTTGGGTTGAAGTGTTCTGGAACAGTGTTGTAAATACAACTTAACCACTGATTTCTAGTTGTTTCCTCTTTTGGAAGACCAAACAAAGTAGTTTTGCTTTCACAATGAAACACACAGACATGGCGGCAGCAACAATACTACAGCGAGAATAAAAGTTATGCCTTCTTTCTTTGCGTGAACATTTGGGCGGCGTTATACAAATCTTTCCACATAGTGATGTAGACATGTGGGGGCGTGTTAGAACGAGCCGTTTTAGGTAGGCGTGGTTGACTCTTAACTTTTATAAAGAATATCTCTTTGGATTTGAGACTTTAGTCTTTGCAACTTTACAGATCTTCTTTATGCAACAAGAGCTTGTAACACTCCAAAGCGAAAGGAAAAATTTAAATCGCATCATATGACCCCTTTAATGTGAACATTTGATTTGACGCTATTACAAAGTGCTTTTTTAGAATGAGTGCACTTTTATTCATGAATGCATACGCACACTTATAAAGTGGCCTTATTTCATGAATAATAAATCTGCAAATACCTTTTTTTATATGCTTTTAAGATTTGAAGTACACTGCAAGTGCACATTCAATACAATAAAGTGTACTACTTTTTCACAAGGGAGTGATCTATTCTGTATTCACTGGGAACTGATATAACCCGATTGACTACTTCTTGTGTTTGCAGAAAGTGCGTAAAGAAGGAACACTCTCCAAATCTTCATCAGGGATGCACAGCGGAGGAGAGGAAGAGCCTGAGGACGAGTCTCACACTCCCCTCCCTCCACCAATGGAGATCATCAAAGACCCGTCTGCGCAGGAAGAGAAGGTACACACACACAACAGAGAGGGAGGAGTGTGAGGAGAGTCGTGTCATAGGAGAGGTCCGCAGGGTTATTAATGTGGAAAGAGATTTATTAAATGCATACTGTGTCACTCATCATATGTTCATAACTATCTCCACCTGCCTCCCTCATAGCCCCCCACACACACACACACACACACACACACACACACACACACACAGGGACTTTACTAACACTGTTTTTCTTCCCTGATGTCAATGTCACCAGTAACTGCTGGGGTGGAGGCTCCTTGTCTCACATTCAACAAACCACACATCCACCCTATTGTTGCAATGAAGCTTAAATTATGTAGTTATGAAACTTTTACTGTTGCACTCAACTCTGGCTCTTTCACACGCTGTGCCTTGCGATTGCAGTTGTAATGTGTTTACAGCCCAATGCTGTCTGACAGGGTGAATCTCAAAAAGAGCGTGGCCTTATATCCCTCCAAAATCTAAATTAAAAAAGCATTTCATAAAGAAAATAAAGACTAGTTTTTAAACCATTATGATTGCTTGCATTGCGACATTTATTATTATTAATGTAACCCAGATTATCTCTCTCATTTTTGTTTTTGTAATTCCCATTATTTTCCTTATTTATTATTATTATTATTATTATTATTAGACTCTGTACAGTAAAATAATAATAAATCCAATTCTCACAAGATTTTTTTCATGCTTAAATAAAAATGTATACTTTTATTGAGCAAGGATGAATTAAAAAGTGACAGTAAAGAAATGTATGATTTCTATTTCAAATAAATATTGTTCCTTTTATTCCGTTCTAAATTTCTACTCATCAAAGAATCGTAAAAATGTGTCACCGTTTCCACAATAAATATGAAGCAGCACAACTGTTTTCAACATTGATAATAATCAGAAATGTTTCTTGAGCAGTAAATCAGCATATTATTATGATTTCTGAAGATCACGTGACACTGAAGACTGCAGTAATGATGCTGAAAATACAGCTGCGCATCACAGTAATAAATTACATTTTAAAATATATTCAAATAGAAACCAGATGTTTATTAATTGTAATAATACATCACAATGATTCTTTTATAGAGTATTTTTGATCAAATGAATGCAGCCTTGGTGAACATAAGAGACTTTTTATAGAGAAATTGTTATAGACCTCCCAATTTTGAACAGTAGTGTATACAACAAATCATGTGGTAAAATATAAATGTTACACATTAGATCTGTTTTACCCAATAAAAACAATCATAAAAATTAGAATTTGGGGAGAAATTACTAATTGTCATAAAAATAATTGCAGTTTCACTTTGCACAATTTGTAAAGGTCTCAAAAGTATCTCATTTTCTATATGTGACCCTGGACCACAAAACCAGTCATAAGGGTCAATTTTTCGAAATTGAGATCTATACATTATCTGAAAGATGAATAAATAATCTTTCCATATGATGTATGGTTTGTTAGGATAGGACAATATTTGGCCGAGATACAACTATCTGAAAATATGCAATCTGAGGGTGCAAAAAAATCTAAATATTGAGAAAATCATCTTTAAAGTTGTCCAAATGAAGTTCTTAGCAATGCATATTACTAATCATTAAGTTTTGATATATTTACGGTAGGAAATTTACAAAATATCTTCATGGAACATGATCTTTACTTAATATCCTAATGATTTTTGGCATAACAGAAAAATCTATAATTGTGACCCATACAATGTATTGTTGGCTATTGCTACAAATATCCCCCAGCGACTTAACACTGCTTTTGTTGCCCAGGGTCACATATTGAGACTATAATTAGTTATTTTTCTTTTGATTTGGAGGTGAAATGTTTGGCATGTTCTTGGCATGGCCTTCGCTTCTCTTCTCCCCAAAGCAAAGCTTGATAAACTGGGCTGTAACCCAGCATCCTGAGCTGTTCTGATCTGCCTGTGTGTTCTTTCCTCCTCCTCCTCCTCACCTGCTGTCTGTCATGTAGTCGTCTGTGCTGCTGGCTTCACGGCAGAGCTCGGCTGACGTCCCCAGTGCTGCTGAGCTTGTCAGTGCTATAGAAAAACTGGTCAAAACTAAGATGGTGAGTGTGCCACTGAACCCGAGCAGGGAGGCTCGATAGACTAACCTCCTGCAGGCTTTCCTCGTTTCCTTTCTGTTTTCTCTTGCTCTGAGACCGTCACTAACTCTTGCACTACTGAGATCTTCTGCACTAGTCTCACATGCACGTGTATTTTGTTCTGTGCAGTTGTATATTGTTACTGTACTCTTGGTCTCATTTATAGGTGTAGACGAACCTGCTAGGATGCTAACATGTTAATCTGTGCTATGTAGTCTTGTCATTGTGTTGGTTTAAGAGCATGTTTCGGTTTCTGTTCATTGTCCATCAGCTTGCTCTACTCAATGATTCAGTTTTCATTAGAGCTGCTGTATACATAAAAAATTATCGGACAGACTTTAAAACACATGTCCTGAGAAACAAAGTTCCCTCAATGTTTTTGGTAACACTTTATTTCGATAGTCCACTTTAGACATTCTATTAACAGTAAGTAACTTTGCAACTACATGTCAACTAGCAGTTAGTAGAGTATTAGTAGACTGTCTGCTTAATATCTTCTAACACTTTCTTTGTCAACTTATTCTACTAACCCTAAACCTACCCTAACAGTCTACTCTGAGAGTTAGTAGACATGTAGATGCAAATTAATGAGAATTAGTTGACACGTAGTTGACATGTAGTTACAAAGTTACTTATAGTTAATAGAATGTCTAAAGTGGACTATCGAAATAAAGTGTAACCATGCTTTTTTTTTTTCTTCTTGATGAGCAAAATTTTTCTCTATTGGCCACCTGAGCAAAAACATTCTTCATACCAGACCTGTTTAGCACACACACAAACAAGTGTATAACTTAACTTTACTAATCTATTTATATTTCATTTGACCTTTGACCTTAACCTGAGAAAACATTTTTTAAAGTGCTGTGTTGCTTACCAAGAAATTCTATTAAAAAACATTCAAAAAAATCTCACGCAGAACGGTTCAATTTTTAGAATAATATAATCTGAAATAAAAGTAGCAGTTACTGCTTATGAATTCCCTTTTTGATCTCAATTATTTATTAGGTTTATAATATAATATAACATAATATAATACAAAAACAAACTGAAGCATTTAAACTGGTAGAATAGAATCGAATCGAATAGAATAGAATAGAATACAGACTGAGAAATCACACTGGGAGTGTATTGCATCGCAAGAAATGCTAGGCTATGAGATTTTTATTAGATAATATTATTTTTCCACACCTGTGGTGGCTTTAGTTATGTTATATATTTGACATTCAAGGAATATTCCATTATTGTGTTCATCCTTAACTGTCATATATTGCAGGCCTTATGTGGTGAAGTAATAAAATCCTCCCAAACTTGCTGGATATTATGGCTCTTCTACTATGACGCTTTTCTCCCCTTTATGAATCTTCCGAGCAGCTCTGATGGTGTTTACTGCAGTTTAGGGCCATGTCGCATATAAACCATTCAATTGCTGTGTTTGTTCTCCCACATCAGGCCTGGCTCTTCCAAATACTGACTGTTTGTCTCGTCTCTGTTGCTGTAGACGCTGGAGCCAGGCTCGTACCCAGCATTCAGTTCAGTGAACCCAGCAGAGCAGAGCCCAGCGCCACCCAGAAACCCTGAACTGGAGCAGAAAGCCAAAGCACTGCGTGGACGAATGTAAGACACACGCTCTTCACTCATGTGGCTTGGTCTGGGAGTCAATTCTACAAACGTTACAGTCTGATTTCAGGTCACAGTGACCAAATCACGGGTTGTTTGTTTGTGCTGCCAATTGCTTTATTAATTTCTTATTTATAAAATATATTTGTATAGTTCGGCTCCCAGGTGCGTTATCCTAATATATAATGTATATGTGTCGTCACGCAAATTGTGCATTGCATTGCATTTTTCATGTTTTATTTATTTATTTTGGTGAATATTTATGTTTAGATTATATGTTTTTTAAATGCAAACAATCCATATTATATTCAAATTTATAAATAAATGGTTCTTTATTTATTTAGTGGGAACTAGTGTGGAAAACATATTGGTTATTTGTTAACTAGATTTTTACTATATTTTAATTTTTACACACACTGTTGAAAAGAATCTTCTCAAAGAAATTACATATTTTTTTGAAGAATAAATGAAGCCGCATTCCAAGCCATTTCAGAGTGAGTACATAAATATTGAGATATTGTCAAAAGATTGAGAAATATCAAGATTGTTTCCACTGTGTTGCCCAGGCTTAACTCCGAGTAATTTTGGTGGGGCAAAAGAAAAAGAAGAAAAAAACAATCTGGTTACATCTAGTAAAATGCATTTGATTCTTGTAAAGCCACCAGACCTGGAATCAATTCCATGTTCATGTAACAGGCAGTGTTGAGAAAATCATCTCTCTGAATGATATGGCTCTCATTAAAGATCAGAGATATTTATGGGAAAGCTAGGCGTTTGGTCATTTTATTAGAATGTTTCTTTCACTCTGCCCTTAAAGGGAAGTGTGACATTGCTAAACCTGACACATTTTTTTATAGATTAGTCCTTTTGTGCCTGTGCAGAAGTCTTTAATAAAACCAATTGTTTGTTCTATTGTAGGTTTGTTGTGAATGAATTAATCCAGACAGAAAAAGACTACGTGAAAGATTTGGGTATCGTGGTTGAGGTGAGAATAGCTGACATCCTGACAGTAGAACATAATTGACCTATCGGTAAGCCCCTCCCCTCGAACACAGCCTAGCCAATGGCAGTCGAGTATCAGTTGCATGGAGAGCGGAACTCAGACATCTTTAGGTTTTAGCGCCATAGAAAAACACTGGGAGATCCGAAGCTTTCATCGTTTTTATGGTGTTTATGCTACAAAAATGGCAAAACGATGTGCCTGGGTTCTTGTAACACTGATTTCAGTTATCCTGAGAGGATAGGCAATGCAATTTATTTTATTCTATTTCCTAAACCCAAACAAAACAGAGCTAAATGTCCCTAAGCGTTCACCCCCAATCCCAATGAAGACGAAAAGGCTAATTTTCTGGTTGTCATACACTCATTTTCATCTGCTCAAGCAGAACCTTAAAGGAACATTCCACTTTTTTTTGAAAATAGGCTCATTTTCCAACTCCCCTAGAGTTAAACAGTTGAGTTTTACCGTTTTCGAATCCATTCAGCCAATCTCCGGGTCTGGCGGTAGCACTTTTAGCTGTAGCTTAGCATAGATCATTGAATCTGATTAGACCGTTAGCATCTCGCTCAAAAATGACCAAAGTGTTTCGATATTTTTCCTATTTAAAACTTGACACTTCTGTAGTTACATTGTGTACTAAGACACGATGTAAAAAATTTAAAGTTGTGATTTTCTAGGCCGATATGGCTAGGAACTATACTCATTCCGGCGTAATAATCAAGGAACTTTGCTGCCGTACCATGGGTGCAGCAGATGCAATCATATTACGCAGCACCTGAAAATTGTTCCTAGCCATATCGGCCTAGAAAATCGCAACACGATGTAACTACAGAGGAGTCAAGTTTTAAATAGGAAAAATATCGAAACTCTTTGGTCATTTTTGAGCGAGATGCTAACGGTCTCATCAGATTCAATGATCTATGCTAAGCTAAGCTAAAAGTGCTACCGCCAGACCCAGAGATCGGCTGAATGGATTCGAAAACGGTAAAACTCAACTGTTTAACTCTAGGGGAGTTGGAAAATGAGCCTATTTTCAAAAATAGGGGAGTGTTCCTTTAATGTCATCTTGTGTTTCAGCAAGGTATCTAATACTAGCTAACATTAAAGTTAGTGAGTCCATGCTAATGTACAAACCTAAATAGCAAACTGTTCTCACGTCATGTACAGTGTAGGGCAAAAACACATAAACCAAGGTCTACATTTCACTGTCTCTTCATATTAAACTGGTTAAATGTAAATTAATATAATCTTATCCTGTGATGCATGAACCGTGTTGATCCGGGATTTTTTCATCTGCAATCGTGACGACCGTAACATGAGGCTTCTCCCGCTTGCATTGTGATCTGTAAACCCTCACTTCCAAATTAATACCCACCATATTTATTTTTAAATATTTTATATATCCCTCAATGGCATATTTAAGTCCCACCTGAATGGTGGCCCTTCTGTGTCCAAACTTTATCAAAAACATATAGGGACATTGCTTTCACACTGACCGCTGTCATTGTAAGACAGTGAGCAACTAGCAACAAGTTTGTTTTGCCGAGTTTGCAACAGTAACTAAGGGGTCGGGGGTTACCGATAGGTCAATTCTGTGATTATAGGCATATTTTGACTTTAGCATGAAAATGCTGTTTTAAAACACTTTACTATTGCTATTCTTCTTCATTTGTCTTTTGTCTTAAGATCAAAGCCATTTGCATCTTTCTCATTTGGCATCATTGGCTGTGTAATTACTTATTTGCATCACTATTTGCTCAGGGTGAATGTGCTCTCATCCTAGTGTTAATTTATCATCATTTACAGCCGCTGTAGACAGACATGCGAAGTACCATTGCCTTTATGAACTTGCGTGGGTAAGTGGTTAGTGGGTAACTCATATATATGAAATAATTTTTTTCTGAAGGGGTTTATGAAGAGAATAGAGGAGAAAGGAGTTCCTGATGATATCAAAGGAAAAGACAAGATCGTCTTTGGAAACATTCACCAAATCTACGACTGGCACAAAGAGTAAGCGCCTCAGATTCTCTCAGCTCCTCTTGTTGAAAAAAGACTAATATGGAACTAATTTAACATTTATTTGCTGTCTGAAGTTTTTTTGTTGGCGAGCTGGAAAAATGTCTTGAAGATCATGAAAAACTGCCTGGGCTGTTCAGTAAACATGTGAGTATGTGACTGACATCAGGTCTGATGCGTTAGCCGTGTAAAGGCATTGCTCATGAAGTGTTTCGCTTCTATGTGTTTAGGAGAGAAGACTGCACATGTATGTGGTTTACTGCCAGAACAAACCCAAATCTGAATTCATTGTTGCAGAATACGATTCATACTTTGAGGTAAGACCTCTTCACAAAAACCCAATAGGATTTTTTCCCACTGGCTTTTAGATTATTGCAGTAAATAAGCTCTGTGACCAAAAAAAGTTACTCAAGAGGATAATCTTCACAGATGAACGCAACTTTAATGAATATTGTAGCCTAAATACAATCAGCAAAAGTAAAAGCTAATGTTATATACGAGTTGTATTCAAACTACACTACAGTCACTGACACTTACAGTAGCTACAGACAACTTCTTCAGTCTTTATTTAGAACATTGGAAAGTTTGAGTTGGTATAGTTTACAAGAGCATGATTGTGAACACAAGAAGGCTGTAAAAGTGAACTAGTGTGTGGATGAGTTCAGTGTGATGACATTTAACGTCCCAACAACTTCTGTAGTCCCCTTGTTTGGGACAAGTAACATTAACTCTGGGACAATGGAATCAGGATTTCATGGGAGTTGGGACTCTATAAAATCACTCTAAAATGAAAAAACAAACAATGAATCATTGCAAGTGTAAAATCGTGTGTCTGTTTTGGTTCAAAGGGGATTCAACAAGATGTCAACTCAAGACTGAGCATCAGTGATTTTCTCATTAAACCCATTCAGAGAATTACTAAATACCAACTGCTACTAAAGGTATAAAGGCTGTGATCGATGGTGAATAATAATGTTTTATTAATGTGTGTAATTTCTAATATAATTCATTTGTTAATATTTTTATCGCTTAAGGACTTCCTGAAGTACAGCGCGAAGGCAGGGTTGGATTGTCAGGATATAGAGGTAAAAATGAAGCTGAAGTACATGTCTTAAATAATAAACGAATGGTCAGTCATAAACTGAGGGTAATGCATTTTAGGTTTTTGTGAAGTTTGTTGAAGCAGCTTGTGATACAGGTTTCTGTTGGTTTTCTCTGTAACAGAAAGCAGTAGACCTGATGTCCCAGGTGCCCAAGCTGTGCAATGACATGATGAACCTGGGAAGACTGCAGGGATTTGAGGTACACTGAAAACTTCACTGTACTCATTCCGAAGTTTCATCAAAGCAAGCGTACTGAAAATACATTGTAAAAGGTTACAGTGATTTCACCAGTCGTCAGTTACTTACCTTCATCTTTGAAACGCAAATGGAAATATTTGAATGAAACTTGAGCGATTTCGGTCTCATTGTCAAGGTTTGTCACATGCATACACTCTTAAAAATAAAGGTGCTTTAAAGGTTCTTCACAGCGATGCCATAGAAGAACCAATTTTGGTTCCACAAAGACCATTCAGTCAAAGGTTCTTTAAAGAAGCGTCTCTTTCTTACCTTTTTATAATCTGAAGAACCTTCTTTCGCTACAAAGAACCTTTAGTGAAACCGAAGGTTCTTCAGATGTTAAAGGTTCTTTATGGAACCATTTAGACCAGGGGTGCCCAAACTCTGTCCTGGAGGGCCGGTGTGTCCTGCAGAGTTTAGCTCCAACTTGCCTCAACACACCTGCCTTTAAGTTTCTAGTATGTCTAGTAAGAGCTTGATTAGCTGGTTCAGGTGTGTTTAATTGGGGTTGGAGCTAAACTCTTCAGGACACCGGCCCTCCAGGACCAAGTTTGGACACCCCTGATTTAGACCAAAAAGGTTCTTCTATGGCATCGTGAAGCACCATTACTTTTAATTGTGTAGAGCTCATCAAATATTGTAAGTGGAAGCTTGTAACACGCAAGCATGTTTGAATTTTCACAAAACTCAGTGAGGCTTGTTTCAAGTATGGTTGGGATTCCATTGACCATATTTGATGTATGCTATTGCTCTCTCTCTATATATGCATTGATCAATGATTATATGTGAATAAAAACCTAAATCTGAATCTGTTAATCATATGAAGTAATATTTTCCCTTTAGAAGAGTTGGATGAAACTGATTCATATGGATCTCTTTATGAACTTTTTAAAGCTTGAAAGTTTTGGCGGAATGAACTTTCAATGGAGGGACAGAAATCTCTCAAGTTACATAAAAAACAAACAAACATGGCTTTAGAACAACATGAGGGTGACAATGGCAGAATTTGACATTTTAGGGCAACTCTCTTTAATCCTATCCTTAAATGTAGCATTTTAACATGAATCAAGAGTGCTCCACAATTGGAACATTTCATGTTTGAGACTCTGTCAGACTGATGTGTTTGTGTGCTTCAGGGGAAGCTGACGAGTCAGGGAAAGCTCTTGCAGCAGGAGACGTTCTTTGTGACGGAGCAGGACTCTGGCGTTCTGTCCCGCAGTAAAGAGCGCAGGGTCTTCCTGTTTGAACAGATCGTCATCTTCAGCGAGCTCTTACGCAAAGGCTCGTCCACGCCAGGATACCAGTTTAAAAAGAGCATCAAGGTAACCGCACCACTCTTAGTCATATAGCATGTTCGCTGTTGTTTTAATCCCAAAGTATATTGAATTTTTTTATGCATACAGATTTTTCTACCCACATATCCACACACACACACACACACATGTGCCAGTGCCTTGAGATTTATTTGCACTAATTAGTTTGTCCGCAAGGTGGCAACACTACCTAGTGATAGCAGAAATGAAACTTGAATTTGCAAAGTTCAATTGCACTTTACTCTAAAAGAGGTAAAATCCATGTAGACACTAGTTTATGGGTTCACAGATCACAGCAACAAAACATTGAAATTCAGAAAAGTTGAAACCAGGTGTGATGCTGACTTGTGTGTATGCAGGTGAGCTTCCTCGGCCTGGAAGAGCATGTTGAAAACGATCCCTGTAAGTTTGTGCTGTCGTGTCGCGGCTCAGCCGAACGGTTCACCCTGCAAGCCGCAAACACGGACATTAAACAGGTCTGGGTTCAGCATATCACCGAGCTACTAGACTTACAGAGCAACTTCTTGTCAGGTAAGATGTCACATCGATATGAATATAATAAACTCTCCTTTTGTTGAGCTATTGAAAGCATTGGTGCACCTGTCTACAGCTCTGCAGTCTCCCATCGAGTATCAGAAGGAGCGCAGCGGCTCTCAGTCTCTGACCCGAAACTCCTCCAGCGGTGGGCGAGTGGGTCAGGCCAACAGCAGGCCCAGCTCCACTGTGTCTCTCGGGGCAGAGAAACCCTCTCTGTCTGGACGGAGCTCCACTCCCATAAAGCTAACTACCTCCAGCAGTGGTCCATGCCACGACAGATACCACAGGGTGAGGACACAGCACTTATGCTGACTCCATAGAAATCCACATTTGAATGATGTTGTTTTTCGCAAGAATATTTGCGTGACTCATCCATGATTTTCAGATGGCTGTTAATCCATAGACTACACAAGAGAGGGTAGAGGCCCACCTGTAGTTAGTCACATGGCCATATTCCAAAATAATGCTGAGGAACCGTTACTGTCCACTGGCTCATTTTGAAAGCTTACCTAACTGGATTCTTAAAACAAGCCCTCTGTTTTAAGTTGCTTCCAAGTGTTGTCTAAAAGATTAAAATCGCAATGAAATGGAAATAGTGACCGATCTTTTCTTCTGTATTTTGGCACACATACGATTATTGAAAAAGAAAAAAATCAGGACGGGGGCTTGGTTCTATGCATCAGGTGTTGATTGGATGTTGAGATGTGGGCGTGGCTCTCAAAAAAGGAGGCAGATGAATGCAAGCTCAAATTGGCGGGTTTATGCTGACTAAATGATTGGAGAAGTCTTGCATCTCTCTGGAAGGTTAAATTGAACATTCTGAGTAAACCGTACGAACATTCGTGAAATTGTGCGTAAAAAGGTCCAATGTCTATTGTCAATAATGTAGTGATGCACGAAGCAGTGCTCACACAGAAGTCACTTTCAAACCAAGCAGCTTTCTGTTAATAAACCCTGCACATTTCTGTGACTATCCTGAATCTAATGCACATTTTGCATGGGTAAATCCCCCCCCCCCCCCCCCC